GGGGAACCCCTCAGGTCGTGCAGTACCCACTCCTGCCAGTGCAAGGAGCCTCTGCAGCAAGCTGGCTTAGTACCGGCTGTGGCTTCCACGCACACGTGCGCGTGCGCGCACGCGCGCGCGCACACACACACACACACACACACACACACTCTAGTGATGGGTGTTCAGCTCCTACGCCTTTGGGCAGCTCTGGGCAGCTCAGACAGACAGACCTGGAGGTTAGACTGAACTCTGCCTTCCCAGCATTTCCCTGCTGCTTCCTCGAGGGCCCTTTGGAACCACACAGCCCTTCTAAGGGTCTGAAAGCCTGGCTCATGGCCACTGGCTCTCTTCTTCCCAGACCAATAACCTTAGTTCTTTCAATGCGTTTGAAGGACGTAACTTCCATTTTCCACATCAACACCAGCGTGGTTCTGAGGCCAGATCTCACCTCTGCCACTTAGGAGGTGTGTGACATTGAACGTGTGTGACTTCTCCCTAAGCCTCAGGTTCATCATCTCCCAAGCGGGAAGGAAAATAGTGCCAACCTCCTGGGGTCATGTGAGCTCGCTGAGATAATGACTGTAAGGTGCTTAGCACAATGCCTGGCACAGGGTAAGCATGCAGTGAAATGTCAGTATGGTCTTTTTAATATAGGACCACCAGCAGTGAGACAGAGCAGCCACGGGCAGCTGCACGCGGAATCTGGCCCTGGTCGCAGCTGCCCCAAGGCACCTGAGGGGCCACCTCTGAGCCAGTCCGAGGCTCCCACTCTGTCCGTCTGCCCAGAGGGTCTCCCCGGGGCTTGCCACACAGTGGTGCTGAAACCTGGCTGTTGGAAGTCGGAAGGTGCTGTGGGTCTCTACGGCTCTGGGCCTCTCAGACCCAGACACCTGGAGCCTTTGTGCGACACAGAGAAAGGCACCCCTTCCTCTAAATGGACACAGCCTGTGTCAGCGCCCAGTGCTGGCCATCAGCCCCACCCTCCGACAGTGGCCCTGAATGGACGGGGCTGTGTCTCTGGAGGGAAGAGAGTCCAAGAGGGATGGAGAAGGCTGTCAAGGCTGGCCCTGGGGTGGGGATGGACTGTGTTCACTTGTTGCCTGTCTCTGTCACCAGGCTCTAAGCCCCATGGAGGCACTGCTCACCCGAGTGAGTGCTGGGCACATAGCAGATGCCACATATCCACACTTGTGAATTAGTGAGTGAGTTAAAGCGCAGGAAGATGAGCGGAGGGGCCAGACGAGGCCACGCTCCAGGCTGCTTTCTTTCTGGGCCTCACGGCTTGCTGCCCTTTGCCCTTCTCCTCCCTGTGTCTAGTCCCATGCGGTCCAGACTCCTCCACCTGGCCTCTTCAGGAGACCTTTGGTCAGGAGGCGCCTGGAATCAGACCCCAGGAGGTGGAACACGATGGGGCTGGGATCTGCTCCACTCTGGCACTCTGGCCCTGGCCTCCAGGGGGCTGGGGCAGTTTCCCGAGCCCGCCTCCCACCATGGGCTGGGAGGGGCAAAGGCTCACCTATAGAGATGGGCCAGAAGGTCTGGGAGCTGTTCCCCACGCTGTTGAAGGCTCTACACTCATATGTCCTGTTGTGTTCCAAGGTCCCGATGGCCAGCAGGCTATGGACGATCACCTCGTGGAAGGGCACTTGGCTCAGGACCTCAGAGTGTGAGTCCTCTAGGACCAGCCCTGCAGACTCATCACACCTGGGAAGAGCAGAGTGTGGCTTAGAGCTTTGGGATGCCCAGCCCCCCTTGGCTCCGCAGCCCGGGGTGAAGAAGGTAAGCAGAGCCACTTACCTATCGGTGTGGCTCCTGCACTGCAGCCACGTGACACTGGGCTGGGGGTACCCGGAGGCTTCACAGAGCAGTGTGTCCGAGCCATTGATGAGCGTCATCGTGACCCTTACCTCCGGGGGGTCTGAGGAGAAAGAGAGGAGCGGTAGAGGGAGGGATCAGCCCCAGAGGCCCCAACTCCCCTGTGTAACCACCCTGCGCTGAGCTGCTATCCCTCCATCACCCCCACCTGCAAGCCCCAGGGACCTTAGTGCCCAGCCCTCGCTCCATCACTCACATCGCAGGGTGAGCTCAAAGGTCAGGGCATTCTGGCCTCCAGCGTTTCGGGCCAAGAAGGAGTAGCGACCGGCCTCCGAGCGCTTCAGGCGAGGCAGGGAGAGGGTCGAGGTGTACCTGCACGAAAGGGGCAGGCCGTCTGGCGTGAACCCCAGTCCTGGTATGGCCCCTGCAGGACAGTGGGCTCAGACAACCTCCCTAAAGGGCTTTGTTTTATTTTTGGTAAAGCGTCCAGGGCACAAAGGCCTTGGCTAAGCCAGGTCCCCAGGCTGAGTGCCATTGAGACATGGGAAAACCAATCCAATTCCCTTAATTTCTTCTCTCGTTTATGAAGTGGTTTTGTTCCGAGGTTTAGTAGAAATGATGTCTGTGAGGTGCCGACCCTGGAAGGCACATTAGCTGCTATCTCTAAAGCACCAGCCCTGCCAGGAGGGACCGTGAGAGGGACGAGAGGCAGGATGTAGCCATGGGGCTACAGCAACCAGGGCTCAAGTCCTGGGGCTATCATTTCTTAGCTGTGTGATCTTAGACAAGTACTCGCCCTCTCTGACCCTCTGTCTCCTCTTCTGTGAGGGCAACACTGATGGTAATTAATGCACAGATTTGGCCTGAGGATTAAAAGGACATATATTCGGGGTGCTTGACACAGAGCCCGACTCATTGTAGGTACGCAGTTTAATGGTGCCCTTTGCTGCAGAAAAGACCTGGAAGCAAATGAGAAAAATGTCAGTTATCGTCAGCTGATTCCAGGTAATTTTTTGTTTTTTTCTTTTCTTAAGCCCTATTTTGGCATTTGTCCGTAACGGACGTGCATAATTTAGGTAATAAATAAGTTGTTTAAAAATACATTATAGCATTTAATTATAAATCCTACTAGACTAAAACCCATGGTATGCAAAGGGCAATCTCTTCCAGCCAGAACTTTGGTGTCCAGAACCCCTGCACTCATCTGCTTGGTAAGCTGAAAGAATTTAACTTCTTTTTGCCGGACTCAAAGTCACCGTTATGAACACATCCATCACATGAGCTAAGTTTGGTGGCTGTTTGGTGCCCCGGGTTATCTGCCCTGTGCTGGATGGCCCCACGCTACTGCGTTTTGGGGGAGCTCCATGGTTTCTTTCCACAATGTCCCTGTTGCTTATGGACCAATGTTTCACCTGTCCCTGGACTGTCCCCCTCCCAGGGGTCTATAGGTTCCAGATTCAGAACTTCTGCTTTAGACAAGGGGAGGCTCGAAATCCTGACCAGAATGGGTGAGAAGGAAACTGAGAAGAGAAAAATGAGGACAAGGAAACATTTTTGTTCTGTTGAACATTTCGTTCTGTGCTGATTCTGACAACTGGAAAGCAAGAGTCCAGGATTTAATGAGGTCTGGGCTTCAGCAGCTAGAAAGAGAACCCCAGAGAGTTCTGGAGTTGGAAGACGGCTGAAGGATTATCTGCCCCAGGGGATGGTAAAAACATTTCCTTGCCTGAGTCAGTTATAATGAAAATACTGTTTGGGACTGTGTCAAGAAGGACTCCGAGGCTGCATTTGGACCCTGAGGGAAAGAGTTCAAAAATGGATTAGAATTAGAGATATCTATCAAGAGTGTGGGAGGGGAAGCGGTTGCACGCACAGCGCACGCTTGCTGTCCTTGAACGCTGGACTCTCGTTCAAATAGAAGCGGGTGAAGCAACTATCGCTTTGACACGTGCCATGGTGTTTCTCCCGTGGAGGAGACTCTCTCGTGTAGAAGTCTACATCGGTGAGGCCACTTTGGATGGGAAAGGAACACCCTGAGGACGTAAGGAGACAGGAAAAAGGGACTTCTAACATGTTGTGTTTGCGGGAGAAGCAAGAGTCTGGAAGTGGAGAGATGGGAGAAAAGAGGAGGTACAGTGAGATGGCACTTGGTGAGAAGAGTTTTGAGCCTGTGGACAAGAATAGCTAGTGAGAGGGGCGCCTGGGTGGCGCAGTCGGTTAAGCGTCCGACTTCAGCCAGGTCACGATCTCGCGGTCCGTGAGTTCGAGCCCCGCGTCGGGCTCTGGGCTGATGGCTCAGAGCCTGGAGCCTGTTTCCGATTCTGTGTCTCCCTCTCTCTCTGCCCCTCCCCCGTTCATGCTCTGTCTCTCTCTGTCCCAAAAATAAATAAACGTTGAAAAAAAAAAAAAAAGAATAGCTAGTGAGAAATTCTCAGAAGCGGGCCACCACAGGCCTTTCAAGAACTTTTGATGTACACGTGATCATGTGATGTGAATTCTCTCTACCCCCCAAACCCATGTATGTGGCAGAGTCCCTGTGCAGTCCTTATTACGAGTGTGTTTAGTAGAAATCATGGAGCAGTGGTCTTCTGTATTTGGATCGGCCGCAAAAGAAGAGAAGGAGATTAAGAGTTCTTGAGTGAGCAGGAGAGTGCACACCCCCAAGAAATGGTAGAGCTCTTGAGGAGGGCATTGGATCTCCCAAGGATGTGGGACAGAGGGGCAAGCCAATTTGATTTCAATCTCAAACACAGATGATTGATATCGAGGTTCTAAGATCAGGGAAAGTGAGACAGAGAAAGGGGAAGGGGTTTACTCAAGGTCACCAGCAAGGTTGAGACGTGACCCAGTCAGTGTCCTGCCTCCTGGCAGAAGCATTCCCCTTCTGGATGTGGGGCTCTCCAGATGGGAGCTGATAGGTGGTACCTGTATGTGTCCTTGATGGTGACAAAATCGAGCTTGTCCTGGTAGTCAGAGAAGGGTCCCAGATAGGTCCAGTTAAAACTTTCTAGGCCTGGGTAGGCCTCCACCTTGACTTGGAGATCAACCTTCTCACCCACAGTCACCTCCTGGAGGAGACTCTGCTCAGAGGTCAAGTTCAAGTAGGCACTCTCTGGAAAGCGTAACACATAAAGATCTGGCATTAGTGGGAAGATGTCTCAGTTGGTTTGTTCACTGGTGATCTACCCATTCATTCAGCCATTCAGCTGGACCCTTCCTGAGTTCCTACTATGTGCCAGGCACACAGCCCCCACCTCTAACCAAAACTTTCCCTCTGACATCTTCCTGCTTACCACTGCCCCACAGAAGCCCAAACTCTTCTCTTCACTGAGTCCCTGGGAGAACCTGGACAAATTTTGATTCTCCTTGCTACCTCTGCCTCCTTATCTGTATAACAAAGAGATTGAGTATATTTGTGTTGTTGTAACGTTTTGAAACTTTTTCAGTAGCAAAAACATAAAAATCTGCTGTTTTTTTCAGATGCCCTCACCTATTGCCCCTTCTCCTGGTAATAGTTCAGGCAGCGAGGCTTCCACATCCAGCTCTAAGCGGGCATGTGACTCAGGCCAGCCAGTCAAGGTGATGCCCCCTTTACACCAGTGAGTGGTTTGGGTGCCCATGGGTCCATGTGCCCATGGGTCCATGACACTTATTTCCATGATTTTTGTTGGAGCTCTGAGAAAGGAGAAGCCTTAATTCCACTTGGGTTGTCAAGCCTGATGCTGCTAGGGGTCCCACAAGAAAAATGTACAGCTGAGAGTTGAGAAACAACTAGAAGCAACTAGATCCAATTTACCCGAAGCTCATATCCATGGGCTTTTTAGCTATAAGGCTGATGAAAATCCCCCCGTGATTAGGCCTGCTTAAGTTGGTTTCTGTTACCTGTGCCTGAAAGAGTCCTGACTAGTTTCTTCTAATTAAATCTTGCGTGAATTAAAATCAAGTTGCCGTGGTTGAATCTCAGGCAGAGGAGCTATGGCAAGAATCCCCATGTACTCAGCTTCTCCATGCCTCTAATGGAAGCCCCTGAAATGCTTTCTTAAATCCCCCAAGACTTTGCAAAAAGCTCCGGACTAGATGATATACAGGGGCTCCTCTCCTTACTCGGCTCCGTAAAATCTAATATTCACTCTTCTACCCTGTGATGTACCTGCTCCAAAGCCCCTGTGGGTTCCCATCACCTCCACTATACAGATATGCGTTTAAGGCTCTCTTCAATCAATTCTCCTCCTCAGGCCCATCTAGCTGTCTCCCCTCTTCCTACACACACACACACACACACACACACACACACACACACACAATGCTCCACCCCACCCATCTGGGTCTCCTAACATCCCATGAACACACCACACCGCAGCCATTCCAGCCAAGCTTGGAGGTTTTGTTCAAGCCACTTTCTCCCCCAGGAACACTGTCCTCTTCCTTTTTTCTATTTAGATCCTTCTCATCCTTCAAGGCTCCTCCCCACCAGGGGGTCTCCACCCACCACTCCAGGCCACAGGGAGCTCTCCCTCCTCTGGACTCCTGCCACCCTTCTAGACGACACATTCATGACGTACCACATCAACACTACTTTGCGCATCTGCCTCTCCCTTCGGCTGGTCATCTTTTCTATCCAACTAATCTGTGAGCTTCCTGGGTGAGGCTTTCGTCTTCTCTCTCCGACAGAGAACGTCTATCTATCCATCCTGCATCCATCCTCTCACCTCCTTCAGCACCACCCTTATCAAGCCACCGTAACCTCTAGCTTCGGCGACTGCAGTAGCCTCCTAACTGCCCACCCCGCCTCCATTTCCACCCTCAACAAAGTGGGTGAGAGTAAGTGTCACATTCCTTTACTCAAACCCACCCATGGGCACCCCATCTTTCTCAAGGGGAAAAGCCCAAGTCCTTACATTGGCTCACCGAGCCGAGCCCTGTGGAATCTGCCACCTTGCCCCCTCCCTCTTTGACTTCACCTTGTGCCACTCTTCCTCCCGAACTCTGCGCCAGCCACACCGGCTGACCTGTGCCTTGCGCGTGGTGAGCACAGTCCTGCCGTAAGGACAGTGCTTGCCGTCTGCCCGGGGCTCTGTTCTGCAGGATATCTGCCTGGCTTACCCCTTCCCCAACTTCAAGTCATTGCTCAAGTGTCAGCTTCCCAGTGAGACCTTCCTTGATGACTACCCGATTTAAAATTCTTTTTTAACGTTTATTCATTTTTGAGAGACAGAGATAGAGCATGAGTGGGGGAGAGGAAGAGACAGAGGGAGACACAGAATCCAAAGCAGTCTCCAGGCTCCGAGCTGTCAGCACAGAGCCCGACACGGGGCTCAAACCCACAAACTGTGAGATCATGACCTGAGCCGAAGCCGGACACTTAACCGCCTGAGCCGCCCAGGTGCCCCTTTTTTTATTATTATTTTTCACGTTTATTCATTTTTGAGAGAGCACGAGTGGGGGAGGGGCAGAGAGAGAGGGGGTGACCACCTGATTTTAAATAGCAACCCTATAGAATTGATTTGGTTTTCAGGATTTATTTTGCTCATTGCTGTCTCTTCCCAACTAAAGCACTAACTTCATGTGGGCAGGGGTCTCCGTGTCTTTGCAGCTGTATCCTCAGCATCCAGAACACTGTCTGACCAGAAGTGTTCATGGACACAAACGTTTATTGAGTGACTACTATAGACGTGCACTAGAAAACACATAGGATTAGAACTCTTAACTGGGGAACAATTCTTTGGGCTCCTCTCCTCCTTTACCCCCCACAGCTCCCAGCACAGAGTGGGGCCCACAGCAGAGGTCGCCGTCTACTGTGCATCTAGCCTAGTGCGGGTGCCATCATGGTGGTGACTGTCATGCTTCTCTCCCCTCCACCCCTCGTTTAATACACAAGTCATGGCCAGACCCAAATGACTCAGCCTGTCTTGACCTTTGCTTCTCCAGCCTCTGATCTTCCATCCAGTGCACAAGGCGTCAGACTGGCCTTCTCAGATAACATCTCCTGTGCACACTTAGGCAGCATTTACTCTGTGCCAGGGTATATCTACAGATTCACTTAATTCTCACAACAAACCTCTGAGACAGTTCCTGCTCATACCGTTAGTATCCCATTTTGCAGTGGAGCAAGCTGCTGGTCGTTAGCAGGGTCAGCTTGGAGTGCTGCCTGGGAGTGTGGGCTCCCGGCCGCCACGAAGCACCCCACCACGCAGCCTGATCCCGCCATTCTCCTCTAAAGCTCTCAATGACTTCCAACCGGATATGATGCAAACTACCCGCCCATTTTACTGGCTGGATACCGCCTCCATCTCTGCACCTCCTTGGCCACTTGTCACACCCCTCCACATCCCTGCCATTGTCAACTTCTTTTGATGCCTGAAATGCCCTCCGCTCCCTTTACCTTTGGGCCTGACATACGCGGTGTGGTTCCTCTTCCTTTCCCACCCTTCTACCTAGCTAACCTACCTCCATTCTTTTGGGCCTAGCTTAGGCCACACTGTCCAAGCCAGGATTGGGGGACCCCCTTGGTGTTCCCAGGACACCCCGTACTTCCTGCCTGATCACACTGGGTGAGCATTGTCTGCTCCTGTGTCCATCTGACGTGAGTGTTGCAGGCATGAAGGAATGAATGAGGGAGTGAGCCGCAAAGTAGGTCCCTCCTGGACACCGATCACAAAACAAAATGCAGTAATGCACTGTAGGAGCTCCAGGGAGGAAGCGAGGGATTCTGGGGGAGGATCTGGGAAGGACTCCAGAGGTGTGGCTCCCTAGCCAGGCCCAAGATAAGGGAAATCTAGCGCAGGTGTTCTTAACAGCGTCTCCTCATTCTCCACCATCAGCCCCCTCCTTCCCAATCCCCTTATACACCCCCTCACCTCAGGATCCCCGTCAACCCTCCCCCATCACCCTAATGCTCACCTACCACCCGGAAGACCATGGAGGCGGAGTGGTTGCCCCAGGCGTTGGTGGCCGTGCAGGAGTAGTTGCCAGCATCTTGGAAGCTCACGTGATCGAGGTTGAGGGTCAGGACTTTTTGGTAACGGTTATCATGGAAGTCGGATTGTTGAGAGATTGTGAGCTGTAGCCAGAAGGAATGGAAATGCTATACCAGGGTTGTTGAGGGATTAGAAAACTCTAGGTTCAAATCCTCAGCCTTTAAAGATTACTATCTGCCTTTTCTTGGGCAAGGGACTGAACTCTGAGCCTCAGTTTCTTCATCTGTAAAATGGCACTAACACTGGCCCCTGCTCCTAGGGTTGTAGTGAAGAACAATGAACGATTACACGTAAATGGGGGTAGAGTTGTGCTTGGCACAACATAGGCACAGTGGGACAGGAAGGGGCTCTTAGATGCAGCCCCAAGCCATTCCCTTTTACTCCCTCTGCTTCCCTCTCACCTTTATATTCCTGGGCTTCAAGGTGGCCTAGGAACCCCTTGCTAAGTCAGAAATGAACTGACCTCTGACTCTTGTCAACAGGCTGGGGCAAAGGTCATGGGACAAGGGGGTAGAGTACCACCTCCCTTCCCCTACAAGATTCAATGACATGAGCCTGAATCCTGGTCCTGAATCAGCTGTTGACGAGCAACGGGTGCACTCCCCTCTCTGGGCCTGGCCCATGCCCTCAGTCTAGAGAGCCAGCTCCCAGCGAGGCTGGGCTCGGTCCTGCCAGGCCTGGTGTGCTGGCAGGGTGGGCACACTTCACCCTGCTGTCTCCCCAGGGACTGACCTTGGTGTCTCCATGACGGAGGGAGACGTCAAAGTTAACATCAATGTTGCTGGCTGAGCACACGATCTGGGCAGCCTCTCCTTGAATCCGCACCAGCTCTGCAGGCTCCAGCGTCAACGTCGCAGGCCCGGAGATGTCTGAGGCCAAGGGAAGCAACCCATGAACACCCAGGCCTGAGCCGTTGCTCTGCTCAGGGCCAGGCTACTGGCTGGGGCCCCCACCATGCTCCCATCCCAAATCCTGGGGGTGGGGGGTCAGCCTTGAGGCCCCAGACAGCAAATCCTGTCTTTTGTACAGACTCTCTGAAGTCCACTTCCCTTCATCACCTCACCTCTCCCCAGTGTCACCCCGTTTTCTGCTTTGGATTCCTGCAACAGCCACTTGGAAGGCCCCCACTCCCCCTCTGACCCCTGTACAACCCAGATGCCTCACAGCAGCCCAAGTGAGCTCTTAAGAATGTAAATTGCGTCACGTCTGTGTCCTGGGCCAGTATCGGGCGGCTTCCCACTGCTCTCGGGATACAAGCCCGGGCCCATTACTGACCGCTGAGCACCTGCCGCCTGGTGCTCACCACCCTGCAGCCGCACCGGCCTTCCCACCTCACACACTGTACACTCGCCCGCCCTCCCGGAGCTTTCCCTTCAACGCTGCGAGTGGGTGGCCGCTCTCTTCCTTCAGATCTTTCGCTCAGAGAAGCCGTCTGTGACCAGTCAGCTGAATTCGCCTCACCCCACCCCACACACATCCAGCTTTCTCCGGCTTGGTTTCTTGTTCATCCCAGTTGAAACGTTATTTGCTCTCTAGTCTGTTTCTCCTGGAAAGATGTGAAATCCCCAAAGGCGACATCCCCAGCAGCCAGGACAGTGCCTGATATAGAGCAGGTGTTGAATTAAAGTTCATGGCTATTGCTGTCATTGGAAGAAGATCTAATCCAGTTTCGCAAGGTCCAGAGACACTAAGGGACTCATCCAAGGTCACCAGGGCTCCAGGGCCCTGCCAGATGGAGTGCGGGGAAAGAGACCTGAGGACTTCCTCTGTCCACACAGTGGGGTCCTGTGACTTCCTGAACAGGTTTCATGGCCTTAAAACCCCAGGGCATTGGGCCAACCATACCACTCTAACCCTGGCCCTCATTGCAGGGACCTGATTCCTGTCTCAAGCCCAGGTGTCGAGCCTGTTACACCAGTCATTCCAGAAACCAGAATCCAGTCCATCAGCCTAGCCAGGGCAAGGGGGAAAGGAGTGAAATTTCACCACACCACTGTCACCCCCACAGTGAGAGCCTTCCTGTGTGCCCACACCCACCTCCCCAGCACTCAGCTCCCCACCCTTCCTGCGTGTGCCCAGCACCTGGCACCAGGCCGGCACCGAGTGGGAAATCCATGTCTGAGGGTGTGGGGCCGCTTTGGGCCCTCCTCCTGTTCCTGGAACATTCAGGGCCTGTTCCCACCTCATGGCTTCGTACCTGCTGTTTCCTCTGCCGAGGCACAGCTTCGCACAGCCACCTGCTCCCCATCATTCATAGTTCAGCTCGAATAAAATGGCACCCTCTCAGAGAAGCTCCCCTCCCACACACACCCTCTCCTCCATCACCTTGTGAGACCATCTGCATAGCGTGTCTCATGAGCTGAGGTCACTTCCCAGCAGGTGCCCCATGGGCGACCATGGTACAATTGGAAGGAAGAAGCCCAAGAAGGGGGCACCCCGTTACTCTCCATCAGGCCCGGGCCCTGCCGCAGCTCGTACGTCTGCTGGCTCTCTGGCCCTCCCGGCCCCACGCACCTTTCTGCACTTTAAGCCAGATGCCCATCGATGTCACCGTCCTGCCGTCTACTCGCGCACTGCATTGGTAGACGTGATTCTCAATGAACTTGGCCTTGTGGATGGTGAAGCCATGCCAGGGCGAGAAGGAATAGTTGGTTTGGCGCAAGACGGGCCGGCCACGCACCCGCACCAGCGAGACGCCTGCCTCCAACGCTGGGTCAGTAAGCAGGCAGGGCAGCAACGCATCCTGACCTTCCAACACCGTCACTTCCTGGGCCAGCACCTTCCAAGGCCGAGCAGGGTCTGGGGCAGAGGGGATACAGGGTTACAACTGTCCTCTCTCCACCAGGCCGAGTGGTCCCTGAACCCTGGGGACAGGGAGGCTCAGAGAAGCTGATCGTTTGCCTGAGGTCACACAATACCAGAGAAGCTCAGCCGGTGCTTTACAGTGGGGACACTGGAGCCAGGTTCAGCCCTATTACTTGAAGCTGTGCGACTGTGGGCAAATGACTCAACCCCACCAGCCTCTGGAAAATGGCTGTAATCATGGAGCCTACCTCACAGGGTTATTATGAGGACTACATCAAACTGGAAGGACTGCACAGGTTTTTGTTAATGGCAGGCACTCAGTACATGTGGAACTGGCTTCTCATGGCTGTGAATATTAGGGCCCAGCCCTCCTGCCCATTCCCAGTGGGACCTGTTGGGCCAGGCCTCTTGGGGGTGGGCTCAGAGTCCTCACCTTTGACATAGAGGTGGATGGTGGCATTGCCCCCCTGGGGGTTTCCAGGCTCAGTGCAGTGATAGGTCCCCGTGTTTTGGAAGGTGGCATTATTCGTGGTCAGGATGCTGCTGGGGGGATCGAGGTCCAGGTTCCAGTGCGGGGAGATGGGGCCGTCCCATTCCACGCTGCCGTTGCCCACACATCGCAGGGTCACTGTTGTGCCTGGCTCCACGACCAGCTCAGGGCCGCTGGGCTGTATCACTGGGACCCCTTGAGCTGGGGTTGGGGGGTGGCAAATAGACAGAAGTGAGGCCTGAGGAGACGCTTCCTGGTCTGATGATCCTGGCCTCTGAGATGGGGAGTGCCCTGGCAGGGGTGGTGCGAGTGCTGGCATTCAGCTGTGATTTGGAATCACCTTACACAAGTCCCTGTCCCCTCTGTCATGTGCTCAGCCCCCCCCCCCACCCCCACCTCAAACCTGCTTGGGGATGGCTTGATGTCCAGCAGCCCCCTCCTCTGAGAAACGGAGACTGGGAGTTTTCTCAGCTTCTAGTCACCTGCTGTCCCACGGGGTCTCCCCCAGACTCCTGCCTCAGTCTTCCCAGCCTCCCCAGGGGTTGACCCCTTCGGCCCCATGGACGAAGCGAGCCGTATCCCTTGTGCCAAGCCCAGGACCTGGCTCCAAGCAGGAGACTCAAACAAGCAAAGGAAAAGACAAATGGATGGAATGTTCATGGCAAAGTCCTCTGACTTAATCTATATGGGAAAGAAGAAAAGGGTCATAGGATCTCAGCCCAGCAGTGTTAGAAGGGTTCTGAGAGTCTTCTGTCATGCCCGCTCCCACCATTGGACATCTGGTCTGCAGCACAGGGGGATGGTTCAGAGGCTCTGTGCCTCAGTTGCCCCACCTATAAAATGGAGGCAACAATTTGTACCCATTTATTGGGATGCTGGGAGGTTTAAATGCATGGAAAGCCTTTGGGACCTCACCTGTCACCAAATAAATAGTAAGGATTGGTCAGCAGTCCAGCCCAGCACCCCAGCACTGCTCTGTTTACTAGGAAGCCAATCTCTTTTAAGGAACATTTGCTTGAAGGAGAAAAGAGAACTTGCAGCCCATATCAGGCCCTCCGGGAAGAAGGCCCGCTGCCTCTGCAGTGTCAGCATTTTTCCAGGGCTGAAAATAGGGGCAAAGGAGGGAAGTGAGAGCTGATTCAAGGCCTTGGGGGGGCTGCCAGGCGCCCCTGAGCCTGTGTGGGCGGAAGCACATTGCTGGCGTCCAGCCCGGCCCCCCGTTTCCGCTCAGCCTGCAGCCCTTCCCCCCACGGACGCTCTCACTTCTGTTTCCTGGCCCTCCTGGCTACTGTCCCCTCTCCAGGGGCGAGACCCCCAGGAGAGGGAGTGCCGCCTGCCGCACACTGGAACATTCTGGGTTGCAGGGCCTGGCTCTCCCACTGACCAACTGGGTGCTCCCGATGAATCTGACCCCTCTACTCTAGTGACAGGGACAGGGACAGGGACACTCCTCCCCCCAGGGAATTGGCTGAATTCAGGGTGTCTCACTGTCCTGCACGAAAGTCCCTCAAATGGTTATTTCCACCCCATCCCCACCACAGACTTCAAAATTGGAAAGATCTTCCCTGTCAAATTATTTCAGGATGACCCAAGTTCTGTTTTGATTTTATACCCATCAGAGGCGCGGGTTGCCTCTCTGCCTGAGCCTCTGATCAGCATGAAGAATTGAGCGAACTGGTGAATTCTGCCAAGCCCGCCCGACACCTGGGGGTTTTTATCCCTCCTGGGCCACGTGACCACCAGGGAGAGGGGCAGGTGCCATTTCTGGCAGGCTGTCCCCAAATCCCAACAGAGCTGGTGCTGCCCCATTACAGCCGCAGCAGTGCGGCGACCCCCACCCCGGGGTTTTACTGCAGGTGAGAGCTTGGACTATGGGGTCACACCCCCTTGGTCTGAAACTTGGTTCTCCCTGATGCTGGGTAGGTCACTTATCCTCTCTGACCCTCAGCTGCTCTTCCATCCAATGGGATTAGTCCGTTTCTACCTCTGAGGTCTTGGGAGGATTCGATGAGGTAATACGCAGTCCTTGTCTCAGTCAACTGCTGGTGGCCTGGACTACTGCTTCAGTGGAGACATTTCTAACCCCCCTTCTGGTCCTGACACTCTAATATCTAAAGTTTTGAACCTTTAAAGGTCACAGTCTGTGACCGTACCATCGGCGATCTCGGATTCTGTGATTCTTGCTGTGGTCCCCTTCTGCACCTGCCTGGTCTCACAGGCACCTTCTCCCTTCCCCTCCCCTGCCCTGTCTCTCTAGTGGCTGTCTCGGCTTCCTGGAAACGTGGTCAGAGAAATGTGTCCTGTTTTGTCTTGTCCTGTTGTCCCGGATATTCATGCAGAGCAAGGCTGACACCCTCAACTTCTGCCCCTAACTTCCCCCTGCTGGCTTGGCCAGTGGGAGAGCCTGCTCAGGCCAGTCCTCCTTGGGCTGGGGGCTGGGGCTTGGCAGACACTGACCAAGGTCCCCTTCTGTGCCTGTCTCTCATCTCAGCTCCCAGGGTGTCCCCCAACTTCCACTCCTCTCCCTCAACCCACACACACATGGCACTCCAAGGCCTGGGACATAGCCCCCTCATCAGACCGGGATCTTAAGGAGCCTCTAACCATCTCTAGGGTGTTCAGAGCCTGGCCCTTGACTCCCTCACAGCAGCCCTCACCCGCCACTCACTCATGACTGGTCTGTTGGGCTAAAAGCTGAGGCTTCCAGCTTGCTGCCTCCCATCTTTTCCTTCTTCTGGGTCTGGAGGCTGGACAACCTCCCCACCCCCAACAGGGTTCCACGGGCAAATTCTGGGCATGAAGACAGGACAAGGCAGTGAAATAAAACCCATAGAACTTTCTAGAGAGAGTGGAATAGTTTTATCTTAATTGGGATGGTGGGTACAGAAACGTATATGTTTGTCAAACCTCATCAGGCTGTATATTTAAGAATCTGTACATTCTACTGCAAGTAAATTACATCTCAATTAAAAAAACAAAAACAACCAGACACACTCAAGCCCAGAGACGTTGGGCCAGAAAAAGACCTTCAGTGGGGTGGGCCATCTCCTCATCGGGGACTAGACGTACCTCCTCCCCAGGATCCTGCAGCCCCAGAACTGTGAGGAGGCCAGAGCTGATGCTGCCTTCCCACCCTACTCCAGGCCTACCCTGGCCCAAGATACCTCCAAATAAGCATGTGATCAAATAGAACTGTAGCTATAAGCCAGGCCACCAGTCCCTCGCCTCCAGTTAGGCACCCTCCTGGGAAGGAGATTCTTACCAGTGTGGCTCTACCAGAGAGTTGGAGGCAGGGTAGCAGCCTACGTCTGGGAGGGTTCTGGCCAGGGAGTCCCTCACT